TCACATCTCAAAAATACCTCACACTACTGATTAAATCAATATAATGTGAACCTAACACTTTAGTGTTTGGAAATATAACACATTCACAAAAATAAGGAGATACGAAATAAATCACTTCGTTATGAAAATTAAAACAAAGAGAATAAGAGGATAAATAGAGATATATTTGACCTGGATCCTTCAACAATTAATTGAATAGTTTTCGAATTCAATTATGATGCTTCAATGGCCGATCAATCGATCTATCTATCTATCTATCTATTTAACTATCTATCCATATATACATATCGCTGATAAATGTATACAAAATTTAAATGTTCCGCATTCTATATATCTGTCAAATGATTATTTTACAATTATACAAATGTCATAATTAATTACTAATAGATGAACCTGATTTAATATTTGGTGGCATTTAAATTAATTGTGATTGTTTTACTGGTGAAAATCATTGAATACAAAAACACTAATGGAATAATGTAAAGAGAAAAGTTGTTGAAAGCGGTAGAAAGTAGGCAGAAATATCCTGTCATATTATGACTGTATATCAACGTATTACGATTAAAAATCAACACCATACTGTAACTCGAAAGACATCAAGTTTCCTCTTCGTTTGTGCTCCGATTTCAATGCTTCATCTGAAAAGTAGTCAATAGTTTCTGTCCATTTTGGTCAGTGGTGTCACGTATTGTCACAATTGTCTATTACACCTCAATCTACATTATTTCTACAACTGATATCAGACAATGATCAACAATCTCTCTCTCTCCTCTCTCTTAATTGAACACATCTCCACAAATCGTGTATGTGATTAACTACAATGCTAACAATTCATTTCACACTGATTTCATTATCAATGAAACCAACCAAACAGTAAATCATTAGAGAATAAACAGTCATCACCTAATTCAAATAAATCATTTCGAAGTAATGAATTGGAAATAGTTCATTGGAAATTACTGTCTTATTTAGCCTATTGTAAACAACCTAAACTTTCCATTTTCTATTGTATTTCATTTCATTTGAATAAATTTAATAATCATTCAAATAAGCGTTAGTTATGTCAACTATATAAATGGGTTGTAATACTAGTAGTAATAGTATTATTATTATTATTGTTATTAATAGTGGTAGTAGTAACAGTCAAAGTAAATTTTATTGCTGTTGTAATTGTTTTACAATAAAGGTTAATTATTTTGTAAAGACCATAGGACAGATTAAATGAAATAAATATGATATCTCACTAATTTGAAAAGGTACAATTAAGACATTATTCAGTGACCGATTAGTTAGATGGTTGGAGGTAACTGATAGGTAAACTTAACTAATCAATTTTTTCGTGCTATTTATTATGAATCAGAAAAGCATACCTTCCATACTTCAGTAACTGATGCTTCTTATGTGATTCGATCTCATATTAGCTTGCTTGAAGTTTTAGACGTCAGTTCTAACTTATTTGTTCACGATTCATCTCGTACGGTATTGGGATATTTACAGTGAACAAGTAAGTGAGTAATCCCTAATGTTATACTTTTCCAATCCTTTAGTATTGATTAAATTCCATCGATTAAGTGGCTATGTACTGGCCTCTAGTTTAAGTGGCTCAATTTCGAGTGTACAATCTTAGATGTTCTGTGATTAGAATCAGTAGACTCAGCAAAACCAATAGCTGCTACACTAATTCTTGACCTGTAGAATTTGATCAATACTAGAGAATTTATTAAACATTACGCAGTCCACTACTAAATGATTGATTCATTATACACATTTAGATAATATTCATTTCATATCAACTATTTATCTTAATTTATTAAGTACTCAAATCAATATTGAATCTTAATGTCTCCCAGTTTTTCTTAGTAATGTTGACTACTATTTGAATTTAAGATAAAGATCTTAGTAAACAATAAGAAAAAAAAACATTTAAATTTATCAAATTCATCTTGAACTCCTGACTTCATTTCAATGATCAATTCATCGTTGGCTCTGATAATTTAAGTTTATGTGAATAGAAGATAATATAAACAATAATATTGAAGAATGATTTACGAAAAAACAAACACATCATAAATCAGAAGGGGTTTGGTAGAGATTGTAGTAATTTCAATAGTTGAGATCATGAGTCAATTGAAACAATACCATCATGGAAAACCTAGAAATACTGGACAGCCATTTCGTCCTATTGTGCGATTCATCAGTGGTGCATATCCAATATTTCGCACACGGAACTCGAACCTAGGATATTCGGTTTCTCGTGTGAACGCTTATTATCTAGACCAGTGATTTGGCGTCCAACAATGTTGTTGTCCAACTCCGACGAATCCACAAAATTGAGTGATTACATCCACCATTGTCTTCAATAAGTTGCTATCTCACAACTAATTAACTGATGATCTCTACTGAAATTACTACCATCTCCACAAACCCCCTTCTGATGCTAATATATTATTAAACAAAGATGGATATTGACTAGCAGTGGAATCTATAACGCGCGTTTCGCCCTTTTTGAGACTCTTCAGCTGGATGTACCTGCATCCCAGAGTTGATGTTCACCCCGAGACTTGAAAAAAAGCTTGTAACTTAAGACAATATCGAGGCAACCCGCAAAGGATGCACATATGTCAGCATGAGACTGATCAATATCAGTCCTAAATAACAATGGGAAGATAGAAGGGGTAAAACAACATCAAGTGAATTTAATATATTATTGTAGATAAAGTTAGTATACTCATAAATTTGCCAAGATAACGATTAACTTGTGTAATGTTCTCAATGTTGTTCGCTATTTGTTTTTTTTCTATACAATAACTAACCGTGTTTTTTTAAATTATTCAATTTCATTTGTTTACTGTAGATTATTCCTGATTCTTAAGTGTACTTTAAACGTCAGTCATAATAGATTTTATCTTTAGGGGTTATATTCTCAGAACAAAATATAAATAGACTTATTCCCTTTATGTTTCTTTATGAATTATTCTTATTATATCTTAATGTCAGTTTTTATTTTGTTCATTTATCAAATAATATTATTATGAATATCAAGTTGTTATATACAGTGATATATTTGAATGTAAAGTTGTACTTTAGTAACATAAATAGAAAAATATATGAATGACAGTGGGGAGTTTCAATCCTATAGAAAGTATATGTGACAAAGTTTTATATGTAAGGACCTATGCTTGATCACGGAATATTGTGACAAATCACAACGCAACATATCTGGATGAAGAATGCTGATGAGCGGCCTATACTCCTTTATGAGGAGTAATATGCGTTAAGTTAAACTGATTTTATAGTGATTTAGTATATACAGCATGTGACTAAGAGTGAAATCTACAGCTCAGATTTCGTACTATTTATAGGTTTGTCAATCAGGTGTACGTGCACCTCAGAATTGATATTTACTCCAGAATACAAACATCATATTCAGTGCATTATCTATTCAACTATTAATTCCAAATAACCATACATATGTGCATTAGGTATGAATTTTTAACTTAATTTGTAATGATTCGGCAATGACTTAATTAAATTTTGCTTGGGAATCAAAAAAAAAATTTATATTTAGCCACAAATCAAACAACTTGATAGAATCTATGATATATAATTCATCAGTTTCAATAAACTTTTTTTAATGAAGCTGAATGAGTAAAGTTTAGATGTTTACAAATACCTCATAAAAGTTAATAATAAGCTGGGATCTAATCAAAATACATTTAACCTATAAGAGTATTTGCTGAATTCAATGTAAATTTTTAAAAAAAATTGACATATCACTACTGTTCCTTCCTTATCTTATCGATCAGTCTTACAAATTGAGATTAATATAGGCGTATTGTTAAAAAAATTTAAGAACTGGATGCCTAATACTTAGTAATCCCATGGTAGAATGAAACGGCTATCCAGTGCTTCCAGATTTTCTATGGCGGTTCAGCTTCAATCGACTCATGAACTCAACTTTTAAATTACTATAATTTCCACAAAAACGTCTTCTGATAACAATCGACATATGTTTACATTGACAGTCTCCGAGAAGTATTTTCTCACTATAGTGAGAAGCACTGACCAGTGGAGTTCAACCGTGTCGGTTGTGAGATAGTAAACTTATTGAAGACAATAGGTGAATGTATCACTCAATTTTGTGGATTCGTCGGAGTTGGACAACAACATTGTTGGACGCCAAATCACTGGTCTAGATAATAAGCGTTCACACGAGAAACCGAATATCCTAGGTTCGAGTTCCGTGTGCGAAATATTGGATATGCACCACTGATGAATCGCACAATAGGACTAAATGGCTGTCCAGTATTTCTAGGTTTTCCATGATGGTATTGTTTCAATTGACTCATGATCTCAACTATTGAAATTACTACAATCTCTACCAAACCCCTTCTGATTTATGATGTGTTTGTTTTTTCGTAAATCATTCTTCAATATTATTGTTTATATTATCTTCTATTCACATAAACTTAAATTATCAGAGCCAACGATGAATTGATCATTGAAATGAAGTCAGGAGTTCAAGATGAATTTGATAAATGTAACTGTTTTTTTCTAAGTGTTTACTAAGATCTTTATCTTAAATTCAAATAATAGTACATGATCGTGTAGATTGTTGAATTTCATTGATATCAAGAACCGGTCAAAATTAGAAAACCATACTGAAGATCTTCACAACCCTATACTGATATGTATCATGTGTTCATAAGTGACTATCTTCAAGAGGAAATCTCCGGGGTTCTAATGAATTGATGCTAGATGGAAGGTTATATGTTCTATTTCTGATTGTAAGATCGCGAATACTGAAAATTCTCATACGAACACAGCTATTCATTCCTTTCAGGCTTTTAATGGTAGTCTGACTAAGATCAGTCTATGATGTACATTATTAAAAATGGTATTACCAAAATTTGAACCAATCAATTTTTTTTTCGAAAAAAGATAAAAACATCCCTTTTCCCTCCCCCCCCCAGAAAAAACAAGTAGAATGAGTAACTTACAGCTTCAATGACACAAGGTGTAGTTGGTTCACATTTGTCTTGGATAAATTGTTGTAAAATTACATCATCTTTGAAACTGGCACGTTTTGTATAAATATTATATGTTCCAAGTGTAGCTAAATTTATGGGTAATTATTCAACAACAACAAACAAAAAGAATATAAGTCAGTATTATTATTGCAAACAGTATTTATAAATGTTAATAGTAATTGTAAACAATGATGAATAGTGGCTAGCAGTGGAATTCAGACAATACCAAGTGAATGTTAATAGTAATGTTGATAATTTTCTAACCAATACACCATTCATACATTACAAGTTGTAAATAATAAACTAACATAAACAGATTATCACTATAAAGGATTTGTAGAGATTGTTTAATTACATACTTGTCAGAAAGGCATCGGTCTCGTGACTTCCAAAGGAATTCGGCTTTCATCATGAGACGTCATAGTTCTTCTAAATGAAGACCTTCTGACTCCCAGGGCAGAGTTTAAAAGGTTTGAATAATTTTTTCTGGTTAGCGTTTTTTAGAGAGTTAGTTTTCTACGAGATGGGGTCGCTAACCCCATGCCCAACCCTCCTCCTTTATCCGGGCTTGGGACTGGCAGTAGCCCCCAGAGGGACTCTAGACGGAGTTGTTGAATTACATAATTTACATAAATAACTAATGTTATTTAGATAACCACTGAAAACTGAGAATTTGTGAATATCTGTTTTTTATCTAAGTATGGCAATGTATATTAAAGGCCTAAGTGAAGATCGAACACATAACCTTCATATTTCATGAAAAGTGCATTGAATTTGAACTATGGATTCGGTATTCAATGGTCAATATTTCTAATGAAGTCCAATGTTAGATATTTAACCACCAATGAGATTGTATAAAGGGTAAGCAATATAGAGAATTGATTGACAAAATTCAGTACATAACTAAGCAGTAGTTTAAGGATAAAAGCTCACCGCAAAACCTGAAGGTTTTGGGTTTAATCCTCAGTAGGATCTTGGATGTTCAGTGTTAAAGAGTCGTAGGACGAAACAACTGTCCCATGCTTCCTGATTTGCATGGTGTTTTTTTGACTAAAATCAGTCCATATTTATAAAAAAATGGCACTTAACAACTTATACGAACCTCATAGTAAATATATTTAACCAATTAGTAGTGTGTATTTTTTGCGCCATTCACAAATATCTAAGCTATTCGAAATAGGGATTTTTGCTTAAATGTCATGGGAAATAAAGTGATGGGATTATACTCAGTTCAAGGTTGAATGAAATTGATTTTTCTCTACTTTGATTACTGGTTAACTTAATGCATAAAATAAAAAAGCCACCTATGATGAATAGAATTATTTATTGTAGTCAATATCGGACATTGTATAAATTACATTTACTCTTAAAAAAGGATACTGGAGGAGAAAGAAAAATTTATTATCATATCTTGGGGATTACTTAGGTTTTGTATAGATGAACTGAAACTAAGTTGCATACATCAGAAGGTAGAGATTTAGTGATTTAATATAACGAAAAGCATTCACCAATATGATGTTGAGGAAATTGTTGAATTCAATCGAAACCATAAACCGACATAAGTTTAAAAGAAACACTGAAAACCTAACATTTCGCTATACTATGGGAATCTTCAGTAGTGCACGCTCACGACCCCTCAATCAGTAATCAAACTCAGAAGTTTCGGTTTCTCACATGGACGCTTAACATGTAGAGCATTTGGTCAGTACTCAGTGGTGTACAAGTCTCATTTAAATCACTCCATCATACTGATCAACCATCTTTCATTGTCTTCAGTGGTTAACTTCCTCATACCCGACACGCACGAACTCCACTGATCACGGACTTCCACTAGAAATGTTTCATTGATTAATCACCGATTCAAAATCAAATGTGTATGCTGATCTAATCCCTTTTGTCTCCGCCAAAACAAAATGTGGCATCAGCGCTTGAAGTCACTAACTTCTAATCTTATCCATGTTAGTAGATGCAGACTACTTGGTTGGAGTCTGCGTTACTGTTGTAACCAATGGTTGGAGACTCTGAGTGATATGGCTCAGAATCGATCACAATACCAGAGATGTATACACTCTCTGTCTTCCCTTAAACGAAGAGATTAAAATCGCTTCATATCTTCCTTTCTAAGTATTAAATCTTTCTTCATGTACTATATGCTTACAAACAATCCTTTTATATATTACTATCATAAAAGTAACTAATTCTATGAATTCAGTATTCATCTTGTAATGCTAATGAGGTGTGGCATCTTGGAATGATGCATATATGTTCCTGATCCTACGTCGTAGCTAACTGACTGACAAACACATTTACAAATACATATATGTATGAGATCAAAGAGTCAGTCACGTTACAGTATATAATTAGACAATTAAAAGAAAATCCGTTGAAATACTTATGGATAATATTTATTCTCAACTCTATTTCTTCTAATTCTGTTGAGATGAATATCTGCAAAGTTTTTTTCTTTAAGGTTGAATAGCCAAGAAATTCGGTTAATAATGCAGTTTCATCAGTTTGATTCATCTCATGTGTAAAATTGAAATTTATACATGTCACGTTTCATATAAACGAATACTTGAAGTCAATAAATTTGATATGAATCTTCTATTGACTCATATTTCCTTAGCTTTCAATCCTATAATTAACTTTACAATTGTAATGGTTTAGACTAACGTGTGGTTGATGTTTTTACAAATATTTGATGGGTTTTAGTTAGCGAATATAAACTTTGTACGGATTACCTTGATGTAAACTTTATGACACAAGTTTCTATAGAATAGGTGGAATGTAGCTAACAGTGGAATCCAAGATGTGCGCTTCATCCGATCTTGGGACCTCTTAACTGGATAAACCTTCACTCAAGAATTTGTGTTCACTTTCGGATTTAATCCCAATAGATTTCGCTTCAAATGCTAGCACATTGAACTAGTAAGTGTCTATCTGAACTCAGTAGCTAAATGGGTACCGGGTTCTAGTTCATAGGTGAAAATTAAATCTAGGATACAGGTACATCCTAATTAAAAGTCCTAGATAAGACAAAACGCTTGTTCTGGTTTCTATTGCTAGTTGGATTCCATATACTTAATTTACAACCATTTATTACAAGACAAATCAGTATTCAAAGTACCTTCTAGGCCAACTAAGTTGAATTCCAGATGTATCAAACAATATCATTCTATTAACTATGGTGTATAATATTTTAATGACTGAATGAAATTCTTTACATCGGAAATCTTCTCCTTCTAACGTACAAAAGAAATCAGACTAATTATGTTTAATAAAGCATATAAAATAATTTCTGTCCTCCAGCATAAATGATATATACCATTGGTGACTTATTTAGTAGCATGGTATATATATACTCACATGTTATAATGAGTGAGATAGATACTTAAAATGGTATTGTTTGTTTCGACTAACAAAAAAAGACAATGATTTTTAAGCTAATCTAGTTTGAACCTAAAAGCTCAGTACTATACCAGAGTTTTAACAACAATAATAACGGATTAATTTAATGAAGTATTCTTGGAGTTAAACCGAAAAACCGTGACTAGTAAATTTCAACCATATTAGATCTGTGGTAGTCACACATCAATGGCCCAGAAGATGGTCGCTAGACATCGTGTATTGACTTAAGTTGAAAATTTAAACCAATGTTTTCAAACTCACTGGTCTATGAATTGAGAGGTAGTGGGTTCTCATTGACAGGGTTCAAAACTAGTGTAAATGAACTATCCAGTGCATGCTACCTTTCGGTAATTATCTAACTAACATCAGTACATAATGTAAACTATAAGTGCAGAGCATCACTAAAAGTCACTAATTGTAAAACAGCTACATTTGTCATGGATGCGCACTGCTGAGGAGTCCCATACTAGGACGAAACGACCGTCCAGTGCTTCCAGGTTTTCTATCGTAGTTTAGCTTCAACTGACACATGATCTCAACTATTGAAATTACTACAATCTCCACACAAACCCCTTCTAATACAAATAAAAATGTCTTTTAAAAGTCATTTATTTAAGTAATCTATCATTTAAATCCACTTGGTGTTGTTTTACTTGTATCTCTCCATTGTTATTTAGGACTGCAATTGATCATTCTCATGTTGGCATATGTGCAGTCCTAAATAACAATTGGAAGGTACAAGTGAAACAACACCAAGTGAATTTGAACTTCATCCCATTGCACAAGCAAGTGGCTATCAGGATTCAGTAGCTAAGTGGATAACGCGATGGCGTTTGAATCGAAAGGTGCTGGGTTGGAGTCTCGGAATGACCATCAACTCTGGAATGCAGGTAAATCCAGCTGACGAGTCCAAAATAGGACGGAACGCGCGTCAAGCTGGATTCCACCGCCAGCCACTATCCATCTTTGATTAAAATCTATGATTTCTTTATTACTAACTAGTCTAAAAACGAAATAGATTTTTCACCTTTTTTTGCAGACCAAAATGTCTTGATTTGTATATACTCAACCTTGATGAAATAATAAAACAGTAATTCATTTAAAACACTGGGTAAAATAAACTATGGTGCATTGTAAATTAACTAAATTCGATTCAGCAATACAAAATTTAAAAAAGAGATTCTCACTGAATAAAACAAATTCCACAGTCATAAACTGTAAGCAAAATGGTGTAGTAAATGAATACTACTAACAAATTACAACACTCAGTTCAAAAATTATGGCCAACCGTACTTTTTTTGACAAAATCAAACAAGCAGACAAATGAGCAAGATTTTGTTACTGATGATATAAAACATCAATCAGGGCCCGCCCTCCCTCTCGACATGCTCTCATACAGCCACGTGCATACAACCACTGCCAGGGAAGTCCTACTCACTGCCTTCTCCCAACATTACTGTTGTTTGCAAAATTAAGAGAACGAAAAGTGAATGCCCGACCATTTAACCGGGTCGGTGGACATGGAGGGTCCACCTTGGAGAGTTGGAAAACCCTGATTCAAAACCAATGGTGCACATTGGCTCTATGATCCTGACGGAACAAATGACGTATAAACCAGTTATTGGCCACCGGCTACCATGGGACTGCATCTCCTCATCTTGCTCCACTGCCTTGTGGA